GACCAGCACAGCTCAGCTGACGCGTTTCTCAAGCCCTCCTTGCTCCCAGAGGAATTGTACTGGCCTCTAAGGCCATGTCTATACTAGGGCTTTATATAGACTGGGATTTCCAGGTGTGATGTTAGCACATCCTGACATGTTTTAAAAGTCTAGTGTAGGTAAGGCACTCTGCCTTTAACATGTGTTAAACTGGTCAAGTTAAAACCTCGCGGGGAGCCTTGATGAGCTAACAGATGTTAAAACTACAGTCCTTGTCTACACTAGGATTTTAATACATGTTAACATGTATTAAAAACACAGATTTTTTCCTAGTGAGGAAAAGACCCTGGTGGCTGAAGAGCCCCAGTCTGGCCCCGGGTATCAGTGAAGGGTTCAGTACAGGGCCTCAGGAGATGCTGTTCTCTTTTGAAGAGCGGGGAATCCTTCACAATGGCCTTCCCTCTATTGAAGATGGCTGGACATCACCCCTTCCTATATTTAGAAATTCAGCCATGATTGGCTTACAGTCTCCTCTTGCTGTTTATTATTTAAGTAATCAAAACTAACAACTCTTCATTTGCAACTTTATGTCCCTTGGTCCCATCATTCCAGGATTCTCCCCAGAAATTGCTTCTCCTGAAATCACAGGTGATTCTGAGTTACTGACACAATCTCTCTGAAACAGAGAACCTGGGCCCGATCGTGCAGCCTTAAATCACGGGCAGTTGCTTTCAAGGGAGGATCTGGCCCTTGAGGGGTGCTGAGCACCTATTAGTTGCCCTCCAGTGAGAACTATCTGAGGTCTCTCACCTTGCAATCCAGGGAAGCCGACAACACCTTTCTCTCCTGGGGGAAGAAGAAAAAAACGTTTGAAAGATTTAGCCGAGACACAGTATTTGGTGCTTAGATTCTATGAGCTCAACTGTCCCTTGCAGGCCTGCCCTGCACTAGGGGAACTACAGAGTTGCTGGGCCCAGTGGGAATTCCAGGATGCATAGCACCTCAGGGGGCACATCATTACCCAGAGATCCTGGAGAGAGCCGATGCTGTGACACCCTTGAAGAAGATGCAGAAATGCTCCCCTCAGTGGCTGCTCAATTCTAATGGTTGTTGTGGGTGAGAAGACAGGTCAGTGCCCTGACCCACAAGCTTGTCAGAAGTTAGCACCCATAACGGCACCAGCCTGGCAGATTCCTTGCACTCCCCATAAGAGGGCACCAGGGTAGAGAGATTATTTTTGCCTTCCAGCTCTGTTGCCCATCTGCCTAGGGACTGAGCACAATCATGACCTATGGTGATAGGGACGTTAGAGGTACAAGACAAGATAAATTAAGAGGTGATACATGAAGTGGTGTAAACTACCCTGAGTCAGAGGGTATAAGGAGGTGTAAGGGAGACAAACTCTGGCCATGCCTACACCACAGGTTTTTTTTCCTGGTTTCTAGCATTAGTGCATCCCCACATGAGCAACTTTTCATTAAAAAACACCTGAGACTTGTCTACACTAGAACTTACACCATTGCTAGCACTGGTGGTGCTGCTCTGGTGGAGCTTTACAGGTCCACATTTTGTAAGAGAAAGTTACTTCTGGGGAAATTCTGCACTACTGCGTGTATTCATAATTAATGAGCCATGCATATTTTTAATTTTTTGCACAGAAAAAAGCTTCTGCTGAAAATGTTGCTGCAGTTCCACCTTTTGCCCAGCAGAGGGCGCTGTGGCTCAAGAACAGCAGCAGCTCCCAACAGAAAATAATGTCTGCATTTCTGCCTTTTGCCCACCAGAGGGTGATGTGGCGATAGACCACAGCAGCAACTCCCGGCCAGCTAATGAAGAGAAAGAGCCTGCCTTCCTCGCAGCACCTGTCAGGCCAGGTCAGGAGACAGGGTTTATGGAGAGACAGACAGCTTGGGGTGCTGGGGGGTCAGACGGGGCTCATAAGGGCTAGTGGGGGAGGACACAGGGGGGAGGGAGGTGCAGGGCCATATGGTGATGGGGGAGGGGATGCAGAGCTACATAGGTACAGGGGAGTGCCTGGGTGGGGCACAGAGATATGTGGGGACAGAAGGTGGGGGTACAGGGACACATGGGGCAAGGGGTGGCTGACTGGGGGCACAGAGACACAGGGTGGCTGAGTGGGGAAACAGACACATAGGGACTGGGACACAGAGTACAGGGACACATAGGGATGGGGGAATGGGTGTGAGAGTGGAGATGGACGGACACGTGGACAAGGGATGGAGGGACACATGGGGGTGCAGGAACAAATGGGGACAGGGGGCAGATGTGCCTGACTGATTGGGAGAGGCTAGGGGTCAGCCAGAGTCTGCATGGGGGAAGCGCCCTAACAATCCATAACCGCCCCCCGCCAAAAAAACCTGTTCCATACTTTTCCCACCCATACCCAACAACTCTCCAAGTTCACACCCAGGCTCCTTCCCAGCAATCTACTTACCTCTGCTCCTCTGTTACCCCTGACTCCCCCAAGCTTTTGAGGGGTGCGGAAAATACGGTTCTATATTGTAAGTTTAAATGAATAATTATTACTCGGCGTTCTGTATTAATATGCCTAATAAGGAATCTATTTGTCAAAAACATTTCCTGAATCTTTTTTGTTGTCTGTATTGTTACAGACGTACTTCCTGACAGGTATTTTGAAATAAGTGAGCAAAAATAATTGAAATATTGTGTTATTTTGACATATAAAATATGCAGAATTTTAAAATATTGTGCCCAGAATTTTTAATTTTCTGTTGCAGAATTCCCACAGGAGTAGTAAGTGCACCTTCAGGAAGAGTGTGTGAATGAGAGTAATATAGTGAAACAGACAGGCCAAGGTAGCTGGAAGAAGGTATACATTATGATGATAAGATAAAGACAGACTACCTGAGATGCACTTAGACTCACCTCTGAATCAGGCCCATACTCTTTGCAGTGGTGGTACGTGCACAGAACTGAGGTTCCCTAGTGACCAATATTTTTGGCCACATTTTCTTCTTTCCCCTTTCTACAGTTTAACCCTATTGAGTTCAGTGAGGTTTTAAACCCGTGTAACAGCGGGTACATCCACATTACAAATGAAGGTGTGATTGCAGACCAGGTAGGTGGACCTGGACTAGCTTTCATCTAGCTAGTGGGGGTAATAACAGCAGTGGAGACATGGCAGCATGGACCCTGGCACAGCCAGCCAGTAACCCAAATATGTACCCAGAGTTCCCAGTGGGTTTGTACTGGGGCCACTAGTCCATAAGCACCAACTCCGGGGCTGGAGCCCCCACAGAGAGAAATTTGCAGGTGCTGCACAGCAGCACCCACTGGCAGCCAAGCTTCCCCTGTTCCCCAGCCAGGGCCGACCCTTGGGGGGTGCGGTGCCCGGGACAAATCAGTGTGTATGGGCCCCCCATGGGGCAGGAGGAGCACTGGGTCTCCCCTGGGGGTGCTGGTGGGGGTGATGGGGCTCCAGCTGCTCCATGGAGCGTGGGCCGAGGAGGCTTACCTGGAGTAATTCGCACCCACTGGTGGTCGGGTGTGCCTGTCCGCTGGGTGCTGGTTCTGCGTCCTGCCCAGGCTGGGACCCCCCACACTCCCCGGCCTCCCCATTCAAATAATGGCAGGGCCAGGGTGAGTGCACAGGGCGGGGGAGCTGCATGTGCAGCACCATCCTGCCAGCGCTCCCCTGGCCAGGCAGGGGCCCAAGAGCCCAGGGAGGAGGCGAGGGCCACGCCATCTGTTTGCAGGTGCCACAGGGGAGCCCAGCTGTCTGCGCAGCAGCGAGAAACCCCTGACCCGGGCCTGCCGAGCCCCCCTCCCCAGCTATGCCAAATGGTATGAGCCGCTGGGGGGAGTTGGGGCCAGACACACCACACTGCCTCCTGCTATGCTCACTGCTCAAGGCAGACAGCTGCTGTCCTCGCCCCATCTGACACCGTGATGTCGAAGCGCGGGGCCCCCCAAAGCACGGGGCCTGGAGCAGTCACCCCGATTCGCCCACCTTCATCTGCAGTGTAGACCTACCTGAAAGGAGGATTTTCTCCTTGGTCAATACCCATTCTGGCACATACACCAAGCAGAGGAGATGCAAATCATTTAAAGATCTTTCCTTGTGATTTAAATCATGCAGTGATTGGACATAAATAACAACTCTGTTCATTCCGTTACCTTTCTCCCCAGCTGGTCCTGCCTTTCCAGGGATCCCCATAGCACCTCTGTCCCCTACAAAACATAAAAGGCTCTGAATTAACATTTTAAAGATGCTCGTGGGGATGTATTTTAAGGGTAAAGTTAGGAGGGAAGGGGGCTGGGAAGTCAATTCCTCCTTTCCCCCTGCAATTCAAATGGGGAAATGAGGGTTAAATCAGAAAACACACAAGTTTTAAGGGTTCAGCTAATGTGGCTGATCTCTATCTTCAGACAGATGGGAGGACTAGCACAGGGTTGGGAGGGATAGCTCAGTGGTTTGAGCATTGACCTGCTAAATCCAGGGTTGGGAGTTCAATCCTTAAGGGCGGCCACTTAGGGGTCTGGGGCAAAATCAGTACTTGGTCCTACTAGTGAAGGCAGGGGACTGGACTCGATGCCCTTTCAAGGTCCCTTCCAGTTCTAGGAGATTGGATATCTCCATTAATTTATTTATCCTGGATTCCATACTAAGGCAAAATTCTCATTGAGCTTCAACTGCTGTTTGTCTCCACAAGACATACAGGATCAAGCCAGCGGCTTGGTGAGGATGTCATGCAACCAGCCAACCAGAAGGCCACTGGCTCAGGTTTTGTCCTAGCTATCAGCTGGCTTGCAAATCGATGGCCTTCAGCAGATCCAAGAGTGTGTGTGCGCGTGTGCATATGTGTAAGTAAAAGTAGGGCAGATCCTGAACAATCAAACATGAGGGGAAATACAGAGAAGATGCAGCTGATGCTATGTATTACCCCAATCAAGTTGGGAGGCTTTGTCAGTCCAAACCCTGGTGATGACTGGAGCAGCGAGGGGCTCCCTAGCCAGACTACCTTGCCATGGTGAACCATAGGTGAAAGCCCTTAATGCACCGAGGAGTTACCATGGTGCATCATGGGAGATGTAGTCCGACAAGGGAGCCTAGCCGACAGAGAATGGGAGCATGAGGCAACTGTACTGCAAGTCCCACAAGGCAACATGGTGGCATTTTCAGATGAAAATATTTTGGGTTTCGATTTTTTGCAACTCAAAACTGTCCATGACAAAAGCCCATTTTCTGACCAGCTCTCGTGCGGCTCCATTTACTGCAATGCCCATTTACACCAGCTAAGGATCAGAGCCCATGTTCTGGTGTCTGACTCTGTGTTAGCCCTGCTGCAAACACACTAAACTCTTGTGTCCTTGGACAAATCAACTTATTATACAGAACACCACAAGAAACCCAAACGTTGGTGTTTGCTTAGAAAACAACAAGATTTTTGTCCTGACTCTCCCAATTGTTTTATGCAAACTGAATAACAAATAAATCCCCTAAATCAAACAGCATATTTAGTGTACAATGGAAATAATGTAAACTGTCCAACATACCAGCTGTTAATGCATCATATTATAACTCTGCTGTTTCTCATCTCAGTGATGCTAATGGATAAATTCTATGAACATGATATCTAGGGTTGCCAACCCTACAGGAATATCCTGGAGTTTCCAGAAATTAAAGATTATGTCATGTGATGAAATGTCCAGGAATATGTCCAATGAAAATTGGCAGCCCTGTGAACATCCCAAACAATACATCAGCCAAACACTTTTTTGGCTGGTATTGAAAGGATTTGTTTGAATAATCAACTACATTTCCATTTTAAATCATCTCTGAATATAAACATATAGTCTATTAGTATCTGTAACCTGGTAAATACACGACTGATGTTTCCCTACACACCTCCATGCAAGGGTCTGATGTTCCATCCGGACAGAGAAAAGGAAAAGGATATTATTTCATTCAGAGCAGGGATATAATGAAGCTCAAGTCCCTCACCACAGGCTAAAAGATCTGCATTGGGACAGAGATGTTTTAGACATCACCAGCGATATCAGATTCTCACTTAGCCCCTGGGAACATACCTTTCATTCCTACAGCTCCGGGTTCTCCCTTGGGACCTGCGGCTCCAGCCATCCCAGGGCATCCTTGGAGAACAGCGAGTTTGTCGGAACCGTTGAGACCCACAATCTTGACCTCTGAGAAAAGAGATGAAACAATAAGTAACATGTGACGGAGTCTCAGGATGTGGAATATTCTGCAGATTCCAGTGCGGGGGGGGGGGGACTTCAGCAAATGGGAACCTACAGATCTCATCTGTTGGCTGGGAGTACAAGGACAGTTAACCAATCGTTTAAGCAAATAAAATTTGAAGTTGTCATTTAGTTGAGAATAAAAGAACCTGCAATTTTTTACAGTTACACTTTTTGGTTTTAAGTTTGAGATGAGGCAGCTAGGAAGGTGCTGGATGTTTTAGGACAATATTGTAGTTATGTTGCCTTCTGCAAATATTTGGTGTTTATATTAGTGACGTCCAATTAGAGGCCTGCACATACCTGTGCCTTATAAACAAGCATTCATTAATGCTGGTTTCTTGTTTTTGAATAGGAAGCCATGAGAGATCCAAAATCTCATTGGTTCTGCAATGCCTGAGGTACCATCTGGTAAGTCAAAGATGAAGTTTCTTTCCATACTAATTAGGAAAATATGAACCTTGAACAAAATTTAGAAATGTAGATGTGAAAGTGTCAGTGTGAATTTTAATCAAACATTGCAGAGTCTCACACTCTCAACTCTACATTCATGCCAGTGCTCTGAACAGCACCACAGCATTTAGGCACCGAATGAATGTCATTTTGTGACAGTCCCAGAGACTGGATATCCAGTAATACACACACGGCAGCAATATGCTAAATGTATTATAGTACTAATTAGACAAAAAATTCTTGTAAAAAAAGAGAAGTCCCAGCTCTAAAATATTACAGTGTCAGGATTGTCGTTTGGTAACTGGCAGTCCCATAGTCCATGGATCTGTACCAAAGAAGAGCTCAACATCGGGTAGGACAGGATAGAAGCTATATGTCTACAACTCACTGTTAGTATTAACCAAATAATTTTAAGGAAGGCAGCAACCAATTCACCACAGATGAATCTGATCAGTTCCACTAGTTCTGCAGAGTCTGGCTTGGTAATGAGTCTGTTAAGAAAAGCTGTTACTGGGTTTGTTTCCTACTCACCTGGACAGCTGTCCTCACCCATGCAAACTGCTGCTGCTATGCAGAGTAAAGCAGTGAGGGTTTGCTGTGCAGCTCTTCCCATGGCTGGTGCTGGGCTCTGCAACTGCAAGCTCCACTTAGCCTCTTCTCTGATTAGCATCTGATCCATTGGCGCCTTTTATAGGCTAAACAAAAACAAACTCCACCTCTTAAATTCTCAACTCCTCCCACCCATCCTCCACTTCACTGCTGTTTCTGCTGAGATTGGTCTATGGTGTCTCTATTTTAGCTCATCTTAGGGTCTGGTGTTATATTTTTACAGTCACTCTCTTGTTCATTAGCCCTGGGTTTCCTTCTGTAGCTCATTTCAATGATTTTTCTTTCAAGCAGAGACTCTCATGGTGGAGGAGTATTGGTGGGGTCAGTATCCCTGAGCATGATGCAAAATGCCTAAATCCAAAAGAGTGGGATTTAAAAACCTCCCAAGAAGCTCAAGAAATCAAAATTTTATGGAAAACTTATGAAGGTAAAACTATTCTTAACCTCTTGATACATTATCATCTTCCATCAGGGCATCAGAGTTCAGAGGGAAGTTGCTGCAGATAGACCCTTTTGGACCAAATTTCCTCTTTCATTAGACGCTGTTAGCCAGAGGACACTAAACTAGAAACACAAAGCAAACAAACCCCAAATGAAAATATAAAGTGATTTGGTTTTAATTAAGTGTAGAGATGGGCTCCAAAACTCAGCCACAGACCTGAATGCCCTGGTATTTAGCAAGTCTTTAAAAACGGATGCCAGATCTTCACAGGAAACTATATTTTTAATGTTCTCTAATCTGACGTTAGATAATTAAATACACCAATTAATATATACATTTTGAAACAAGATTCCTGACAAAACAGGTTTGTCAGTATAACAGTATCACAGAGAGGGCTGAATGGTGGTATTGTGGTTAAGGCAAAGAATTGACAATTAATGATATAATCAGAGCCCTCATCACCTGAATGCATGCAATTCCCACTGACTTCAGTGATAGTTCAGTCCACACAACTGACAGGTTAAGAATCTCCAGTGGAAGTCAGCAGAATCACAGTAGGGATGAATCAGGTCATAGGTGTTTTGGTTAAAATTGGTTGTCTGGAATCAGATACCACGTCAGCTACATGTCCATTTGTAATGCAGAGAGGACAGCGGCGAACTTGATGGGAATAGGCTGTTACAGAAAGTCTATTCATCACTTGCAGCCCTTGAGGTGCCATGGAACCATAAATTGTCAAGTATGTGTCCAGCAAAACTTTTGGGAGATATTTTATGAATAAGGAGAATTGCAGCAAGACCATCTG